ATGAAATAACAGGAAAAAGGCAAAGTTTGGGGCTGACCAGGTCCGGAGCAGCTGCACTGATCTAGGTTGTGATTCCTTCAGTGCTGTTCACTGAGCAGCACTCAGGGAAAACAGAAGAAAATGGCAGTTTTCCCTTCATCTCGTAGTGACACAAAAATTAAGACAAATTCTCCCCATAAAGCTACAGCAGCAGATTTTCTAAAACGCCATTTTCTTAAAAGCCTCCTTCTTGGCTACATAAACCAATTCCCTGTGATATCCTGAGCCTGAATGTTTATTTGGAGAGAAAAAAAAGAAAAACAAAAAACTGCAGGATATTTATGCTATTTCTCTTCAGCAGTAACATCCTCCCCATCTGAAGCCAGTTGTTACACACAGTATTTTTAGACATCCACGTGTGTCATCAACTCAGGAAAAAATAAGAAGAGTAGTAACTTGACAGTGTGTAAACAGGAAATCTTCAAAAAAATTTTTAAAAAGAGCCAAAAAATGAGGCTGAGAGAATTGCATGTCTCCTGAAGCATGGCTTAGGAATGGGAAAATATGAAGGGTTCAGGTCAGAATCAAAAGCAGATGTGTTGCACACCCTGCAGACCAGCTGTCCTCTCTTCCAATTTGTCCCTCCAGAACAGGACAAATTACAGACACATCCCGTGGCCATGTTAGCCATATCTGCCACCAGCTCCTATTTTTGTGGCTTGTTTTAAAATGGTCTGGAGTCTTCTCTACTGGGGAAAGAGAAAAAAAGCCCTCCAACAACCCCATGACTAAATAGAGGATTTTAGAGAAACTTTATGTAATTCTGGGGACAAATGGGTTTACTAAAACCCAGGCCAATACCCCCCGCCCTGGGCTTGAGGGTCACCAATTCCACAAGGCACCACGTCTGTCACCCCCTGCACGTCAGGTCCTGCAGAGCCCTGCACGTAGCCTGTCCATTGCCACCCACAGAGGCATCCACAGGGTCCCCTCCAGCTCCAGCGGCCAACAGCAAAGAAGTTTTTTCACTCAAACTATTCACATACAACAAACGCTTTCAAGTTTGAGGCTGAAATTTTTATACCAAATATCTCATTGAAATAGGAAGCTTCTTCCCTGGCTTCTCTTCCTCTCTGGATAAATCCTGTTGCTCAGGCACATTCATAAGCAAGTGCCCACGGCAGGTTTCCAGGGAAATATCCAAGTGCAACACAGGGGATTTGGTCCCAGCTGCACAGCCTCATACGTGTTATTTCCATGAGCAACTCCCTGGGTAACTGCATGAAGCTGAACTTCTCTGCCCAGGTGGAGAAGGTCCAGAGATGTTCTACACACAGAAAAGAAACAGCAGAGCCACAGGCTGGTGAGCAGTCAAGGGGACCCATTTTCACTTAAATAAACAGCCAGTGCACAAAGACCGATACATATATTTAAGGAGAGAAAGCAGAGGTGGCAGTGTGCTATTATGGCACAACTATAAAAATGGGATCAATTATTCCTGAAAAAGGCACACACTCTTATGGTGCCTAAACTAGCCAAAGAGCTGAGGGAAAAAAGGGCAATAAAGAGGAAAGAGCAGCAATATCCCCACTCTCTTGCATGATGAAAAACATCTGCCAGGAAATGTTGTCCCTCTGTTACAGTTTGAACTTCCACCAGGAAAGGCTGTAGCCTGTGGGAGCAGCGGGAAAGAGGGCAGAAATCCCAGTCGCTTGATTTTTAGGCTAGTGATTCATGTGAACCCCAAGAAGAATCAGTGCTGTCCTTAAATGAGGATTTCATCTCCAAATTCCTACCTGAGCTGCAGTTAACTAGCTATAAACCTAAACCAGTAATTTCCTGTAAGGGGATTTTCCCAAACCTCTCCTCTGTAACTCATAAGGCTGTAAAGATTTTTAAGATTTTGGAGCTTGCTGTTGAAGCCTGTAAATGGGCCTCAGGTTTCCATGAGTGTTTGGAAGGGTTTTCAGTCATAAGGGTGCTTGGGCAGCGATGCTCAGCTGCGCAGACCAGCACTGCCTTCCCAACTGCCCCACGGCGGCCGGCTTGGGTCTGGCCTTGAACATGCACCAGCTGCTTAAAGAAATGAAGATGCAGGTCTGTAAC